CAGAGCAGCTGAGACACCAATATCAAAAGAATAAAAAACAACATTATAGGATAGTATAAAAATAAGTAAATCACCTAAGGAAACTGAAATCACACATGAAAAATTTCACAGGCACTATCAGATCATTATGTAGGAAATATTAGCTTCTTCCACCAGGCCTACTTTTCATAGAATAGTAAGCACGGCCAAGACATGGAACTGAAATCAGGTATCAAATCAGACTTTGCCACAGAAAATGGAATCCATGACTAGTTATTTCAGGATAGTGCCTAGGTCAGCAGTATCAACTCCAACTGTGATATAAGAGATTACTGCCATTGTTCCATTATAATGGATCCTCCAGGGTCTCTAATTTAGTAGATGTGGGTTAGGTATCTCTATTTGGGCTGTAATCTCCAAACCAGGGAAACTCTATAGGACAATATCTTCAACAAGTGGGAAGAGAAGAAAAAAATGAGACAGAACATGCAGATTAAAATAGATTTAAGAGCTGTATCAACTCTTTTCAATAAACAGTCTCTGGATCCTGATTCAAACAAATTAAAAAAAACTGATAAAATCAGGGAAATAAGAACCAGCTCCAAATTTGAATTTTTAAAAATCACTTACTTTTCAGTTGTGATGAGAGTTTTGAGATCAGGTTAAAAGAGCCCTTTCCTTTTAGCGATATAAACAAGTATTTCACAAATAAGACAGTATGACAGTGGGGATATGTTTCAAAACAATCCAATGTGGAGGGGGGGTGGGAAGAGTAGTAAGTAGTATAGATGAAAGAATGGTACTAGTTAGTAACTGTTAAAGTTAGTAATGGGGGTATGTTTGAAGATTTTATTATCTCTTTAAAAAATAATTGGTTAGACATAGTATAGTACCTTGCAATTTTATTTTCTGAAAGATGATTGGTGTGATTTATTAGGTTGTTGGGAAAGTCATGACACATTTTCTATGTTAAAAAAAAAGTGTCATGACTTTCCTGACAACCCAATAAAAAATTGAGTACAGATAAAAATTCATGTAAGTATTCCTTTTAACTCAGTAATGAGCTCCACTTACTTCAAGAAGTAACCAATGCTGTATCAGAGCCAGACAATGGAAAAAACTAAATGAAAATATGTATCCCCCACTATCTCCATTCCAGGATGTAAAATGGAAATCATACTCACAATGAGCTATAAAAACTAACCTAAAATCAATCGTACTCATCCTGGTGGGAAATCCCAACACTGCTCCAGTTTCCCCAAACCTTTCTGACCAATTTGGTCTGCTGGTTCCTCTGGAACACTAACCCACTCAGGTCAGGCTACTGAAGGACCTACAAAAATAAGGTGGGAGGGATATACAACACATTTATTAGGATACAGGGGTGTTAACCATTATATCAATGTTCAAACATGATCACAGTTATTTCTGATGCAATAATCCTCACATATCAATTTACAATTTTCAGGACCTGCTTTGAGCTGTTACAGAACCAAAAGTTCTAACACTTCTAACCTGAAACTCAGGCAAGTGAAACTCAACTCAGTTCTCAACCCAAATAAAATGACAGGAGATAGTATTTATTTCATGGATAACTTTATAACCTCACCATAAACTGACACTAAGGAAACTTATAATTGGGACCAGTAGGTAGTGTAATGGCTATGTCGCTGTAGTCAGAACTCCCATGTAGTCATCCGCAGTTTGAGTCCCGGACCCGGTGGCTTAAATTCATGCCGGGCGCATGCGCATGCGCATGCGCGTGCGCGCGCGTGTGTGCCCAAGATCCCAAGAGGAGAATGGAGGAAAAGGGACTGCAGTGTGGCCATCTCCCCTAGGAGGTGATTTCTCGCTTTCTATCTCTCTGTCTCTTGTCTTGCTGGCGAGCGCACGTGCCCTATAGCAAAAACCTCTCCAAAAAGAAAAAAAAAATTATAATTTATTAATTTTGTGGAAAAAAAAACTATATACATAAAATTATTTTTCACCTTCACATATGCTTTTTGGGCATACTGGGAGACAAAAGAAAATCCTGGATACCCAGGTTGAACTTTGTCACTGAACTTCAGACAAAGTTTTTTTTGTTTTTCTCTTTTGGTATTGTCACTCCTTCCTCTCTTCTCAGAGATCTACCTAGAATAAATTAAACCTTTTAGGTCAGGCCAAAATTATTCCCAGATTTATTCTAATGCTGAATGACAAGAGTCAAATTGACGTTTAGTTCATTTGTGATTACTGTTTAACCCAAAGCAAAAGGGACCAAAGCAAATCTCAAAACAGAAAAGTGATCTCCTATTGCCTCCAAAGTGTTCTGCACTGAATTAAGCAAAACCTGAAGTTCAAAACTAGACCACATATAGTTAAGTACCAGACAGTTACTCACTGCAAATTTTTAATCCTCTCAACTTTTCATCACCATACTCCTACTTCAATATCCATCATCTTGCCAAATTAGAAAAAAAGCACTCACATTAATATTGGCCTAACTGAAATACTAGCAGTATAGAAACCTACCTCCAAATAGAATATAGCACTTCCGTTTGCATGTTAGGAAATATGAAAGAGCAAAAACATCACAGGACGTAGAGTACTTAAAAACCAATAGTAATTTACTTTGGAAAAGCAGCTTAGTATTCCAACTGACTTTTCTAAACTCTTGCAGATAGGAATTATTCTGCTTCGTTAAGAAGATGCCAAACAGCAGATAACCACCCTGATATGAGGAACCAAACAAATGAAACTAGGAGGAAAGCAGCATAAATACTTGAAAACTAGCTAGCAGAAGTTCCCTTTACCACCATGAAACACATGGCACAAATTTCATGACTTCTGTAGGGTGAGTAACAAAACAGACATACTGCCTTTGAAGGAGCAGAAGGAATAAGTAGACAAGGAATGAGATACTCCTTCCAAAAGGTAGACAGAACACCTGGGCGCGGTTCTTGACAGGAACTTTAAGGAACTTTAAGGCTGGCAGTCATTCCAGGATGGTGATTCTGCACTGAAATTTCTAAACTAGCAGAAGAAACAAAGTGGGAATTATGTTTAAACACCATGAACGACTGGAGGTTAAGAGTTTGGCCTACAAGAAGAGAAAAAAAAATGGCAAGTGATCGATCTGACCTAAAAATAAGCCAAAAATTTAGTTATAGAAACTAAAATCTCTGATCCTTTCCCAGGTCACAAAGCTATCATATGATATAAGTACATCTACAATTGTACCCTTTACACCATTTATTGTATGCTTACCATGAGCCACTAATTTCACAAAATCCTCACTAACTCTAGCAACAATCATTTAATATAAGCACTACTATCCCTGACATAGATGATGAAGCTGAGGATATGAAAAGTAATTTGCTCAGGGTCACAAAGTTCAATATAAACACAAAGCACATAATATCTCTACCATACCACACTGCTTCCCATGACTGGGTAATATTAGTGTCTCCTCAATCTATGCAACATTGGAGTTAAAAGAAAACAATGGTGGGACCAGCAGATGGTATAATGGTTATGTAGCTAGACTCCCACAGTGTTGACCCGTTTGAGTCCTGGACCCGATGTTGGTCATGCCAGCAGAACCAAAATCCCAGAGAGAAGAATGGAGCAGAGAATGTGGTGTGGCCATCCATCCCACGGGGGTGGGGGGGAGGTGGGGGGAGTGATTTCTTACTATCTGTGTCTCTCTGGCAAGGGAACGCACCCTATAGCAAAACTAAACAAACCTCTCTAAAAAGAAAAAAAGAAAGAAAGAAAGAAAACAATGCTTAACATGTAAACTACAAAAAAAATTAAGGAATTAACTGCCTATCGTAATGGTGGTATGGAGAGGGGAACAAAGCAGAACAGGGCAATGACTGTGGGGCAGGACATTAACAATTCTAATTTTTAGCACAAGAAAGAAAAATACTGGGGTGTCTGACAGCTGAAATCTCTCTAGGGGATGCAGCCCCAGGAAAAAGATCATGGGGGGCGGGGGGGGGGGGGGGGGGAGAGAAAGG